CATTAATATGCATTGTTCAGCCTGCTGAACTCTTAAGCCTAGTTTCCATTTGGTCGTTAATTGTCGCTGGTACAACAGGCAGAATATGTGAAATAGTCTAATATCATAATAATCTTTGTGTGTGTTATATGCAAATCAGTCTTAATGATTGCAGAGTTTTGTAAAGTTTTGTTGGCACTCTATTACAGCCACTTGTCGTGCCAGCGACAACTAATGACCAAATGGAAACTAGGCTTTAAACCAAACCAAAACCATGGAAGATGTTATTTGTCTGTGACAGGTAATGGCCAAAAAAGAAAACAATCATGTCAAATATAAAAGATCATGCAGACATGGGTGCATGCATAATTATATCAAAATGTGGAAAGTATTATACATATTACAGGACATGCGACCAAGCCATACATTGTTGCTTAATTTAAAATATTCATTTAAAAAGTTAAATATAAGCATTAATTTGTTACCTTAAATACACCTCGTGCAATATCACACCAAGTCCCACACAACATGGCTTTGCCCAGTGGTTCAAGGCATTTATTTAACTTGCGCTGTCTCTGTTGTGATGGCCAAGACACAATAATCTGACAGTATAAATTAATAAATATACAATTAATATTATATAGCATTGGCACCATCATATACATACCTACATATATCATATACCGTTTTTTTATAAATTAATATTGGTACTTAATCCTCATGAGTGTTTTTAGTTAAATTATTAAAAAGTATGAAATGCCATAATAAATTTTATACGAACTCCTACCTTACAACCCAAATCCTCGTGACCATGTTCATGACTTTGGAATGTAGTTTGAGTTTGGCAACTTCGATCACAAAGACGTTTTGACGAAATTGGTTGAATTGGAGAAACAGGTGGAACTGGATGTGAAGTAGTTTGTAAAATAACATCCGTACGTTTTGGCGTGCTGGTATTAATAGCTGGGTCACAATCATATGAAAGCTTTTTTGAACAAGTTCCCTTTGATACATTTATACGATTAAGTATATCAGCTTCGATTTGTGCAACTTTTGCACTGACCTTCTGTCGTTTTTCTAATAATATTTTACAGTCTCTACAGCAAAATTGCCTTAAAGACCA